TAACGTCGCCAGGAGCCGCCATCTGCTGTAGTTAGAGTCTCAAAGACCTGGTTAACATCCTCGCGTCCTGGAGGAAGCAGGTGTCCTTACAAGCGGCGGCAGGAGGAAGGACAGGGAGTGGAGTCCTAGGCGTCTCCTCTCGGGCGTTTGAGGAAAGGACTTTATCATAGGTGAAGGTGAAGGCGTAAAGCAGGATGCGAGATTGCTAATGTTTTTGTACTTAGAAGAAACGGACGGAAGGATATTATAAGCGGGGGAATGATATCGTTTCTGTCGTGACGTGAGCATGATGCTAAATTTATTATCGAGTTTCAATCATTAAAGTGTTGCATGCTTTTCTTTTTTTAATCTAGCAATCTATCTGTCAATTTGTCTGTTTATATTGCTGTCTATTTATTTACAAAAATGCGAAGATAATGGATGCACACTACATATATATGATTCATGGACGTACAGAACCTTGTCACTTGGATAAATCGATCAAAAGAATAAACTAAATAAATAAGTGCAGACAGGGGCTTATACTTCACAAGTTCGGCGGACATGCAATAGATGGCGCTTTTATATCACCATGTCATGCACTACGTTTTCTTTGAGTAGGAAGTAAAGAGAACATCGACGTTACTCGTAGCCTGTATTTCGTAAACTTAATCATTTACTGGTTTATGGAAATCCAACTTTAAGAAGACTTTGAAATCATCGCAGAAACTTTCAAGATGTTTGAGTTTTGAATTCATATATTTGTATGAATGATATTGACGTTGTTGTTATTATTTGTATAATATTAACAATGGCATTACCGATACCGTTGTTATTAGTTACAACTCTGCTATTACAGGCAAATGACATTATATCATGCCACTACAATATAAAGACGATATAAATAGGTAAATTGTTTATGCATTAACATTCATGAACCAAAAATCGTTAGATGCCATTCATGCCTCAGAAGTTAGCCAGAAATAAGGATGGAATTTTTTTGCGAACAATATTGGCACTAAAACCTCCCCGGGTTGTAAAGTAGACGAATATTTGGCATACTGTACACAAAATTCCAAGTTTTAGCGCTTCTTTTACTGGGAAAAGCTTTTGTCATTTCCAGTGATATGGTCAGTGTATGCATATTTCTAAGGCAGACTCGAAAATTGTTCATTTAAAAAAACACTGTTTTTTCAACGCAATTTGAAAAAAAAAAAAATCAATTATAAAGAATCCTAAATTTATAAATTCATTCTAGAAATACATATGTGTCCTTCAACCAATATACTTCCATATTGATGTTCATTATAATAAACTGTATATCATACATTAACCCTAAATATACTTGTACTAATGTCACACAATGATTTCCTATTATTTGTTCTAAAAACTTTTTTGTTAATGTCACACGCAATTAAAAATAAAATAGAGTAACATAACTATCGTATCACAACGAGGTCAAAAGAGATGTTGGGTGAGATCGTATTTGCAATACCAGTATCGCCAAAGATTGCATGATAGTCCAGGGCGTTTGATTTGTTGAATGCAATACGTCAAGTATAAGCTACACTTCAAGTATCTTTATTCCGGTGTTTGGCAGCCACTGGGTTGTTGACACATACACACATGTACACGCGTGCGCACGTGTGTGTGTGCGTGTGGCTCAGAGAGAAAGAGAGAGAAAGAAGGAGAAAGAGAGAGAGAGAGAGAGAGAGAGAGAGAGAGAGAGAGAGAGAGAGAGAGAGAGAGAGAGAGAGAGAGACAGATAGACAGACAGACATAAAAGAAAAGAAGGAGCGGACAGAAAGAAAGACCGTAGGAGAGGAAAAAAACAAACAAACGAACAGACAAACAAATCAAAAATACGAAAAAAATAAAAAGATTACAAGCTAAAAAAGCGGAGCCACCCTTAAGGCACAACCACTGGCTTGGCGACGAACTGCATCTTAAAGAGAGCGCGACTTAAGGAGGAAGTCTTACGAGTGACGGCGAGGTACGGGTGAGCTTCTCTCTGGCTTCGATATTGCTATGTGTGTAGAGGAGACCGGGTCAGAAAAAAATCGGGTCAGTGTAGCTTACTTAAAAAGTACTCTTGAAGTTGCGAGTTTTCGTGGTATGGAGTCAGAAAAAAATGGTCAGTGTAGCTTACTTAAAAAGTACTCTTGAAGTTGGGAGTATTCGTGGTATGGAATCAGAAAAATAGTCAGTGTAGCTTAATTAAAACATATTCATAAAATTAAGAGTCTTCGTTGTATGGAGTCAGAAGTAATAGAGTCAGTGTAGCTTACTTAAAACTTGGGCTTGATATTAGGAGTCTCCGTGGTAGGAAGTCTCACACTTGATACCATTTTGGAGTTTATTCAGAATTTTAGGGATATATCTCTGTGATTCCCGTCTACTTATCGTTTACAAAGTTAGAAAGAAATTGTTTTTTCGAAAAGATGAGTCTATGGTGTCTGAACGTATATGTATAAGGACCCTGCTACCTAAGATTTGTCATTTCAGTCGAAAGAAATAGGTGTATGTAAGTGGAATAAACAAGGAAAGAGAAAGAAGGTGATGAGAGAGAGAGAGAAAAGAGAAGTAGAGAGAAGTCCCGACTCTCCATACAGAGGCGACGCAGCTGGGGTCGCGGCCGGCGCAGAGGTCATAAGTGCTCAGAGCCGGATTTTCATTCTGTGTCCAGATCTTCTCACAATGGCGATTCGAAATGGAGAAAAGGACATTCCCTTTGCCATGACTCTTTAAAGTTCCCGGAGAAATAATAACGATAAAGACGCATGACGAGAGAAAAGATAAAGAAGCGACATGCAACTGCGGAGGACCTGCGCCGGGCTTCGGGTCATTTGCATAGTAATGACGAATCCTCTGACTAATTCCTGGATCCTGTTTATTTCAGCCCGGAGAGAAGAGAAAGAGAGAGAGAGAGAAAGAATAATCATGTTATTGTTATTCCCAAAGTTCGCCAGGCCGCCTTCACCGCCAAGCAGGGTAATAGATTGTCCGTTGTGAATTAAAGAGAAAAAAGCAACGTCGGGAAAATTACTCCGCTCCCCAAATTTCGCCAGAGAACATCGCGCTGCATGTTAAATATTCGGGCTCCTGTCATTGGTGGACGTGACATGATCCTTACACTGTCCAGGCTTGTGATTGGCTAAGGTCACGGAAACTGGGTGGCAGCCCCTCATGACCTTATGTCTGGCCCCGCCCCCTTTCATCATTGTCGGAGTCAATTATGAGCAATTAGTGCTAAGTGGCGCTGCTCCACTGCACCCGCTCCTCGCCCCCTCCCCCTCCCTCCTCCCCGTCCTTCAGGAGCGAGGACGACGGAGGGACGAGAGCTAGCGCCTTCGGGTACAACCGAACACCGGAGAAGCGAAGGACTCCGGAGGACGTGGGCGAATTTCCCTTCTTTTCCTGGCGATTGAAAGCGGCTTCGTTGAGTAGGGAGAGTGCGACGCGGGAAGGTTTTTCTGTCTTTCAAATCCGCGAGCGTCCGCTTTGCAGATGCAAGCTGATGTGACCGAAGGCGAGGATTTGATAATCGCTGTTAGTTTACGATTATCCTGATATTTACAGAAGAGAGAGAGAAGGGGAGAAAGACAGAGATAATTAGGTAAATCGATCGATAAAGAGAGAGAGAGAGGAGAAGAAGAAGAAGAAGAAGAAGAGAGAGAGAGACGCAGACAGAGAGAAGCAAAGAGAGAGAGAGAAGGAGAAATAGAAATACCTCTAAAAATCACAGCCAAGAAAAAAAAAACAGATGGCTAACTGAAACTGAAAATCCCGTCGTTTCCCATCCCTGAAGTGGCCGTCTCTGAATCCGGGTTGTGCGTATGAGCGAGGGTCGACTCGGGCCTTCCATTTGCATTGTCTAGTTGCGGGACCTTCTCCTCCTCCTCCACCCCCTCCTCCTCCTCCTCCTCCTCCTCCTCCTTCTCTTCTTCCTCCTCCTTCCCCTCCTCCTCTACTTCTTCGTCTTCCTCCTCCTCTTCCTCCTCCTCCCCCTCTTCCTCCTTCTCCTTCTCCTCCTCTTCCTCCTTCTCCTTCTCCTCCTCTTCCTCCTCCTCCACTCCCCTCCCCCTCCTTTTCCTCCTTCCCTCCCCCTCCTTCTCCTCTTTCCCTCCTCCTCCTTCTCCTTCCCTCCTCCTTCTCCTCCTCCTCCTCTTAATACTTTCCATTCCATTCCACTTTTTAAAATATTTTTAGTAGATAGTAATATCGCTTCTCTTTCTTCATTTATTTTCCTGTTTATCTCTTTGTATATTCAAATTCTCTTTACACATCTTTAGTAGTATTTGTTTCTACTCCCTTTCTATTTTCCTATAGTTTCTCAATCACCTTTTTTAGTTTGCAATCACGTCCTCGCCTCTTCCCCTTTCCTCATCTCCTCCGGGAAGCGCCTCGGGTTGAGAATACTTATCATTCAAAAAATTATATTATCTCATTTACTGAGAGGCGTATCTGTTATCATTAACTTAATTGGCTTATCCTTTTTTCCGCTGAGTTTGAAGCATTCCGCGTCGTCGATGATATTACTGTAGCTAATCCATCGTAAAAAAAAGTGAAAGTTGTTCGTGTCTCGTGACGGTCGGTCCCCGCCGATGAAACAGCCCATAGAGACCGATGGTTTTCTATTACAGGAGTAATTAAAACGATATTTCATCACCTTCCGTCCGGGCGTTTCAATTGGCCAATTACGTGAAAAAGATATCGTTAATTCCAGCGGGAAGGCGGCATCGGGTTGAGCCACGCTGGTCAACTAGTCTGGGCTAACATTAAGATATGGCCTGATATAAATTGGTTTGTCTGACACAGCGACGTATACCACACGCAGCGGCACACACCTGGTGATTCCACGCATGCGCCTTGACCTGGGTTGCCGGACGCCTCTACTTGCTCCGATTAGCGGCCATTTCTGTAGCAAAATTTCCCCGCAGTGTCTCCGCTTTTTCACAGCCAGTCGGGTAGTTCACTTCATCGACATGCGACCCACGGCGAGAAGCGAAGCGGCAGCGAGCATGCGCGGCCGCAGGAGGACATAGCCGGTGTAAAAGTCGGCTCGCTTTGGTGTGTATCTGACCCGCGCTAAGTCCGCCCCTCTCGACAGCCTCAAAGCCGATCACACGGGCTGGTCTCTCTTCACGCTCACATCATCTCCCGAGGTCCGTGGGACTTCTTCTTGCCAGCCGCCTGCCACTGCCCGCGCCGTGTCGCCTCTTCATCTGCGGGACTCTCCGCTGCCTCTCTTCCTCTCTTTATTCTCTCTCTCTTTCGTCGCCCCGAGGGCCTCTGACGCCTCGCCTCGCGGAAGTGATCTCTGTCTCACTGTGCAACGGTGTAAGCGGTAACGAATGCGATTGTAGTGATTTTTATCGAGCGTGGGAGGGTTTTGTTCAGCGGCGCGGCGGCGCGTTTGATCGGTGGCGCCCCTCCTCCCCCGCCCTGCGAGTGCGGCGGGAAGTGACTCGAGAGCCTTCTCGGAAAGGACATTTTCTTCCTGTGAATCACATCCTACGGAAGGAAATATATAGACTTAGGCAACGCTGGTTAAGGCTCACTTGCGAAACATCCCGCCGGGCAGCCGATGGTGTTAAGATTATGTGGTCGTCCTAATTGAAACAAAGTGCTTCTGACGCGTCCGTTTAACCCTTGGAAATTCCAGAATTTGTTCTCGTGAATAAAAGGCAGGATAAAGTCGATAAGAGTGAGCTTGAAGTTTGAGTGATAGGAGAACCAGGCCCGAGGAGCTCGCTGAGTACTATTGCAGTGATTAGTGATTCGAGTGTGGAGAATGTAGCAGCCATTCGGGTGTCACTGCTGAATGGAAACACTTGCTGAGAAAACGACAACGCAGTTCCGTCGTTTCAGTGACAGACTCTGAGTCAAGGTCGAGAGTTTTTCTGTTTCTTCCTAAAGGACCTCGAGACTCCCCCTCCGTGTCTCAGGTCCTCCTCGAAGCACCATCCCAGGCCCTGAGCATGACACGGGATCCACCGCAACGGCGTCGACATAGGTTACGAGGACGCTGAAGCCTCTGTCAGGCCCTCCCTCGGGATACTCCTCCTCCTGCTGACGAAGGGCGCTCGAGGATGAGGTTCGGCTGGAGGAGGGAGGTGGCAGGGTGGCACCTCCTGACGGGGGTGGCACTGCTCCTGCTCTGTGCCACCATCTCCGCGACGGGGAAGAAAGCTCGAGAGCCGAAATGGTGGTAAGTAATCCCTTATCATATCATCCATGTCTCTGTCCACTCCGGATCAACCACTTGCTAAACTCTACCCCGCCCTCCCCCCCCCTTCCCCATATAACCCCCTCAAAACCTACGCCGTCAAATCAACCCAGAACTCAAACCCCAAGCATCCTGAGCCACATTCCCGCGTTTCTCCAGCCGAGCGAGAGCGGGTCTGGACTCACTCCAACCATGTGCGTTGAAATCTTTCCGGCCGCGCTATATTGACTACACGCCCGGGGAATTATTCATTGAGAGAGAATTCTTTTTTTCTCTCTCTCTCGTATTATGAATAACAATATTACCCTCCCCTCTCCCTTCCTCCCTCCCTCCCTCCTCCGGCCCTCCGCTCTCTCTCTCTTCCTCTCTTCTTCTCTTCCTTCCTTGTACCTTCCTCCTTGTTCTCCGCTCAGAACTTCTGTATATTGTGTTATTTTGGTTTTAGTGTTGATGATTTTGAATTTGATAATGATATTGCCTGCCCACCCCACCCCACCCTCTCTCTCTCTCTCTCTCTCTCTCTCTCTCTCTCTCTCTCTCTCTCTCTCTCTCTCTCTCTCTCTCTCTCTCTCGCTTCTCCTTCTTCCCTCCCGTTCCCCCTCTCTTATTCCCTCCTTCTTAACTTGGCTTTCTTGTTTTTCCTATATTATTTTAATTTTGAATTTGCATTTGCTTTTCCTAGAATGGTAATAACTGGAATATATCTGATAATAGTAATAATGACAGTAGTAATAGTAGTATTCTGAATTCTATGCATTATTATTTTTATCGTATATATTACTATCGTATGATTATTTTCATTACTGCCTTTATTTTGATATCAATATAGTCATTATAATAACAACAATAATAATAACAATGGTAACAACAGAAAGGATTGAAGTTTACAGTATTGCCAATAATTACGACTAAATTGATAAATATGTTGAGAACATAATTAATGATACTATTGGAAAATATACAATGACAAGGCCCTCATAACTACTAGTTTTTATATAATTTTCGTTATCACTTTAATATTTGCCGTTGTTATCATCATTATTATTGTTAGTGTTGCTATTAATGTCTTTATTTTATTATTATTATTATATTATTACTATTATTATTATTATTATTATTAATACATTATTATTATTGCTATTATCATTATTATTATTATTATTATTTCTGTTATCATTATTATTATTATTACTATCATTATTACTATTATTATCATTATTATCATTATCATTACTATTATTATAATTATTATTATCATTATCATTATTGTTATTATTATCATCAGCCTCATC